CATTCCTGACAGCAGAGCAGCCACTCTGCTGAACTGAGGTGTTGAGCTCAACACCTTGTCTGCCTGAATCCCAGCTGAGGTGGCCAAGGCAAGCCCCGCTTTGAGCTGGGGGTTGGGCAAGACCCCCACAGGTTCCTTGCAACCTGCATTTTTTAAAATTACTTAATGACACGTTTCACCTGCTGCACAGTACATGCTGCTGTAGAGGGCTGATAGGAATGCAAAAGAAGTTTTAAGTAGTTCTTCTGTAATTCCTGCAGTTTGGTTATTAAAAACTTTCCATCTTTGTTGAGCTTTAGCAGACGACTTGCAAGGGGATTGTTTTAAGTACAGAATTTGTACTGCTGTTGCCCCAGAGTTCCTCAGACCCTCACTGAAATCTGCAGGTTCTGTTGGTTGTTCTGGACCAGGAAAAAGCAGCAGGATTGTTTTAATTATGTGAAATGCTGAAGACCTCCTGTGAGGTCTGTGTTTGCTTTCCACCAGCTACACCCATCATCAGCCAAGAACAGGTCTCTCAGGTAACAGGTGTCCTTTGAAGAACAGGAATTCTGCAGGAAATTTGTGTATTTTTTAATATTTGGGGTTTTTTTCCAAGTAATGTTAACTTGTGTAAAGGAGTCCAAGCTCTGTTGTCTTTTTTAAAAAGGATTGATAGCTGGGTACTTTATGAGAACAATTAGTAATAAAAATTGAAATTGTATCCCTTTCACTCTGAAAAAACCCCAACCCTCTTGAGTTGTATAAAGATGTATCCTTACCAAACCTGATCTCCTTGAAGGCGTTGTAGTGCCAGTAGCACCTGAGGGTATGTGTGGCTCAGGAATACCAGGAAGACATTCCTCCCTCTAATTCTGGATTTCAACATTATAAAAAAAACACAAAAAAACAAACCAACAAACAAACAAAAAACCACAACAACCTTGTCTCTTTTGTGATACACTCTCAATGCTTTTAGTGGCAAGGTTATTTTTTACTAACTTAGCCTTTCTGTAGCAAGCCATGCTCTTGTTCCACGAACAAAATAGCAGAGTAATAATTTACTAATGTAAGAATCCATTTACTTAAAAATACCTCATTTTAGCAGGAAAAGTAATTAGTTGTACTGCATAAGAGATGCAGAAAGGTGAAGGTCTATGGATTGGTAAGGGGGAAAAAAAGAGGAATTTAATGACTTTACCATTTTTCTTGTGTAGCTGCATTGAATTATGGCAATATTCTTTCTATAGCATGAACACCACCCCTTGAACACAGCCTTGAGAAATGCCATTTTTAAATGTCTTAAACCAAAATACAGGTTTTTTAGATGATGACTGTTTTTTGTGAGGCCACCACGGTTTGTCTAGAAGTCACTTCACTGTGGGGCTTCACAGGATTTTTTTTTGCAGAGAAAATGAAAACCAGAAGAAAAAAAAAAAAGTCTTTCTAAGCTTAGCATGCAGATGCAAAACCAGCCATCTCACAGGGAGTGTGTTTTGCTGGAAGCTGTAGCTGATGCTGGCAGGAAAGCCTGCCCACAGAAATGCCCCCTCCCTTTCACGTAGAGTATTTCAGGATTAGATCTTTCTGTAACTCAAGAGTGAATGAACTTCACCAACTTTTCATTGTGAGGTATGAGAACTAGTCCAGATGCTTCTCCCTGGACAGGAATCCACAGCTCTTAAAAGAAAACTGGCAGTTTCAGCTTGGGGCATCTTCTTTATCAGATGCATCAAGAGCACCTGGCATGTATTCTGTTGTTTGTAAACTTCAATGTTTTGGGGCAGGAGGGGAAGGATTTAGCATTATGAATTCAGGTCCTGCTTTCCATACTTAGCTTAAAACACATTCTGGATGACTGGAAAATTATGAATAAGACTTCCAAGATGGCAGAAGTGTATCTCCACTGAAGTGGGACCACAGTAAGCAACCAACAGATGGGAAGAGTCTCTCTCACACAATTTGTACAAATTTAGATGTGTTAGATTAAATTCAATTAACTGTTCCAATTTCCTGTGTAGAGGCAGCCTGAGAAACATGAGTGAGTACCTTTGGCAGTGACTCAGTGTCTCTTAAGTGGTGAATAAAAGGATGTCTCTATTTCCATATTCCCTGAATGGGAAAAAAAATAACTTTTATTTATGCATCATCACAACATCAAGAGAACAAAACTGAATTGTTTTTCCTTTGAAGGTCACTTTTAACACTGATGCAACAACAAACACTAATCTTTCACATTACTTCTGCATCAAAATTAGCACAAAATACTGGCAGCATTACAGAAGAACTTCACTTCTCAAGACAAAAGACCATTTTCCTCCACTGTCTGAGCACTTTGCAAAAAATTACTGTTTCAACTGAGGGAGCATTATTCTCACACATGTAATGAATTTTAAAAGCAAAACAGCAGCAATTGGTCCTTGTACCTTTAGCAGAGATGCCAGTCAGAAGATGTGGTCTGTTGCTTTTTTTCCTAAAAAACAATCTGTATTTTTTTAAAGATGTATTTTTATCTTCAAATATTTAACTTCACTATGAAATTAACCAACTAGAAAGTTTCCATTTCCATTTGAAAAGTATATTGTGTCTGTATGCACACCAGTTAGTCATTTAATACTGATATATTTCTCTGTCATAAAAAGGTTTCCATGTAATCCTTTTTTCTACCTGGTATGTGCAGAGGCTGATCCAGCAACATCACCAGGAAGACACCAAACCTGGATGGAACCAAACCAAGTTTCCACTAGTATTTAATAGCTCTTAAAACGTACATAACTCCCCCATTCTTGGATGTTTCACGTGCAAAGTCCAGAGTTGGGGTTTTTGGTTTGGTTTGGTGGCTGTTTTTTAACATAGTGAACACTTCCTGTTTGTGTATGTGCAGAAAGGAGGGCTTGCCAGCCTAACCAAAAATAAGCAAGAGTCTTTCAGTGGATGAACAGGCCACCTCTAATTACATTTTAAAAACCAACCAACCAAAAAGGAGTTTGCCAGCAATATTTTTTGGGGCTGGCACTGATTGTTCTTGAGGGGTGAGAACTAAACAAGTGTGACAGTTGTGGCTGAGTAAGCCAGATGTGCCAGCACAGTGCAGCTCCCAGTGGCCTGCCCAGCTGTCCCCAGCTTAGCAGAGCTGTGGCTGGAGGACAGCAAAGGACACCACAGCTTCCAGCACCTGCATTTTGTGGCAAATAATCAATTTTTACAACTGTGGTACAGATTTGCATCTTTGCTTATTCTAGCTACCTTTGAGAGCTTGGCCAGAGAATTAACAGTAAGATTATCTGCCTTCTAACATCACCACTAGAAACTGGAGAGATCTTGTGTCACAAAGTTGATTTAAAGATTTAAATGTAGTTCCAGCTGTGGTGTAGATGCAAACCATATTCCTTTGATTTCCAGATGTGAAATGTTCCCTTCTTCAAAGTACGTGTATTATGAACTTTTGGACATTTTTACATAAAAAGGTATTTAGAGAGACTGTATGCTTATCATCCACTTGAAATCACCTAATGCTAAGGGGAAAGATAAATAATACTACAGTTATTTGTTAGACAATGTCAGACTGGGTAAATTTTGACTGAAGCTGCAAAAAGGCAAAGAACCCACTGTCTTTCCAGAAAAAACAAAAAAAATTATACAGAAATTCACATTGTACATACACAATTTCAACACAATCATTTTCTGTAACTAATGACAGAACACAGTCAGTACTTCTCCATCCTCAGAAGACGAGTTACAAAATGCCAGAAATCAAGAATCCATGGAAGGTGCACAAAGACAAGGTAGATGTTTGAAATTACAGAGCACGAAATGGGAACAAATAATATTTTAGATAAAGATACTTTAAAAAATACAAGAGCGTGGAGGCAAAGGTCTGTTTCCTTTCTGTAAGGAATCCAGTCGTTTGCTTCAGATTAGGCAAAAGCAGGACTTCCATCTCCCAGGTGAGGGTTACAGCTGTCAGATTTTGGTTTAGGTCCATCTGAGCTCTTCCTTATGCCCAAGCACGTGTGTGAATTGTCCTTGCTGATCAGGACATCTGGATGTGTCCCACCATCTGTATCCTGTCTTGAAAAGAAACCCAGACCTGTGACTGGGGAGAAAAAGGTCCTGCATGACCTGCAGATCTCTTTCTTGAGAGTCTGGAACTGCAGAAAGTAAGGGACCACAGTTTAGATGTGGCCTCTGCCTCCCCCACACCCCTTCCTCATTTTTAAATGAGCAGATTCCAGCAATCACATAGTCTGAGAAGCCCAAGCTGACAAACCTGCCTCACTGACACTGCAATCAGGGCTTGGTCGTTTTAGATGAGATTATGCAGGACTTCCTGCTTGCTGTGCTGGCTTCTTGATCTGGCTCCCAGGTGTGGTGTGATGAGCTGGGGCTTTCCAGTGCTCTGTGAATCACAGGGACCCCAGTGGGCAGCAAGGCACCTACAGCAGGCTCCCAGTCTTCAGCTGGGATGACCTGGGTACAGCTACACACACAGCACAGCTCTGCAGCCTGGATTTTTGTCGACTCCGTATTGTCTGACCGTGTGCAGGAAAGGCACTGAAACCAGAAGATGCTGATCTACACCTGCCACTGCCCACCCTTTGTGCACACTGGTTGTGCCTGAGGTTTCTCTCTCAAGTTCCCAAAGGTAACATGTACCACATTCTTGGGTGGACAGTACACATTTGGGGACACCTTGCAAGGAAACTATTTCCAAAATATTTCTAAAATGAGAACTGCAGGGCCTAAGACCCTTTGCAGGTTCAGCCTGTCACAGGTAAGATTCCAGTGCTGAAGCTGAAAGCATTATTCAAACAGTACAATAAATATTCCTTTGCTTGCAGAAAGCAGCATCATTAGTTAAGCATGTGTTTCCATGTAGTCTCTAAGCTATTTAATTCATTGCAAGGCAGAGAGTCTGGCATTGCAGACCTGCTATCTTTTGTGATATGCATCTTTACACTGGGGCAGTGCAGTGAATATGTACATACCATAAATATTTTCTGTAACCCTATAAACACCTGTTAAAAATTCACTAGTTGCTTAATCTGCTCAGTCTGCAGTGACTGCCTCCTTAGCAGTGTTTTCACATTTTTGGTCTCCCTAAGGAAAGCAGGTGCTGCTGATGCCAAGTGTTTTTGTCCACAAGAAATCATCCCAGAAAACCTGTTCATGAAAGTACTATCTGGAACTGGGGGGTGAGGAGTAATGTTCAGTGGTGGAAGAAAACCTGGCCTGGTCTGAGCAATATGATCCAACAACAAGGCTCCCGAGCCCTGTCTTTCTAGAAAAGGTGGATTTCTCCTGCTCAGGGTAACAGGAGAGACGTTCTCCAGTGCTTCTCTAGAACTCAGTAACAAAGAGTGAGATGGAGAAAGAAGCTTTTTCTTTCCCCTCACTGACCTACTGTCTTCGGCAGCAGCAGGACTTAGGTTAGTAGTTAACTGAGAATCAGAGCTGTAGTGATTTGCTCCTAAATTTCTTCTCTGGATGATACTGCGGAGGTTTGAAATGAAGCTGCTTTGTTCTGAACTGGTCTCCTTACCCACAGGAATCCCACTGGGTTTATGTTTCTCTTCAGCACAAGGAGCCTGGGAGTTTATCTCATTGTATGATAAATTCCTTGATCCAGGTTGATCAAAGGCTTTCAATAAATGAGCTGTGTCCTTTATGTCAATGCTCTGGTGCCTGGTGATGAATCTCTTTGATAAGGCAAGACCATTTCTTTTAAAAGAGAGCTCTTCCTCTGGAGTGATGTCCTGAAGTTCTTCTTGTAAAGAGGCAATTTTATTCTGGTGAAACAGTGATGGAGAGCTCTTTACCCAAGGCTCAGACTGTAGCCACTGCACTTGTGCCAGCTTGGACCCTGCTTTTGTTGAGGTGGATGTTTTTGCCATTGTTTGAGATGAGCTGTTCATGCTTCTGGCACGATCCAGCTCTTTGAAGCTGAAGAGTGCTTCTTGAAGTTCATTTGAACTTGGAAGTGGGGATGGAGACGTTTTGAGTTCTATTTCTGACGGGGAAGTGCAAGTGGTTGGGGAATGGCATTCCTCGAGGTCGGCAGGAGGCACATTTAAATACTGCCTCCTTCTCTGCCTTCGAGAGCAGGACTTCTCCGTTGTGATGATGATCACTTCCTTCCCCTGAGCCCTGCAGGCGCTGAGAAGAACTTCCAGGGTCTCTTTGTCTTCAGAGTTCACTGCATAGACGAGCGCAGAGCAATCGGAGTGATCTTGCAGGCTTGGGTCAGCTCCACTTTCCAGCAGCAGAGACACCACTTCAGGGCCTGCATTCTCCAGGCAGGCGTGCATCAAGGCCGTCTTCCCAGACTTGTCCTGGATGTTCGGATCAGCCTTGTTCTCCAGCAGGTATTTCACCATCTTGGCCTTGCTGGCGCTCTGGGAATCCACGTGTTTCGTCCTGCAGGCGATCATCAGAGGGGTCTCACCCCTGTCGTTGCTCTCGTTGATGTAGGCACCCCCTTCCAGCAGCAGCCTGGTGAGGCGCAGGCGGCTCTGATGCACCGCTCTGAGCAGGGGGTTCCCCTCGCCCGCCTCGCCCATCGCTTCTCCCGCTCACACCTCCCCGCTGCCTGCTGAGAACCCACTTCCACAGGAGAGCCCTGCCTCCCCCCCAAAGAAAACAACAGGGAAAAAAAAAAGGGGTGTTAGCTGTATCAATCGCTCCTGTAAGTACCTCAGTACTTTGTGAAAAAAAAAAAAAAGTATGAAGGGAGGGGGAAAAAAAATAAAAGTATTCCCACCTCCCAGACTTCAGGAAATAAATTAAAACTTAAAACAACATTTGGATACAACAATTACACATGCTTAAAGTAGGGGTGACACTTTTTTGTTATGATTTTTTTCTTTTTTTAAAATTTTTTTCCCCTCTTCTGGACTGCTCTCCCTTTGCTCACACTGCCAAATCAGCTGCAAAAAAAAAAAAAAAGAAAAAATCCTCCCACACCCCCAATGGCTTTGACTGCACCCAAGAGGCTGCACCTACAGTTTGCACCACTCCCGATTCTCATCAGTGCAAGGAACAAGAACTGAACGAAACCTGCAGCAGTTTTCACACTGACATGTGACAAGTGTCACACTCACTTTGTCTTACAACAACCAATAACTCAGCATGTAGAAAACGAGAAAAAGGAGGCTTGCGGGTCTTAAGTAAAAGAAGCAAGCATAGTAAATCACTTTTTATCTAAGAAGAACATGTTAAATGGCTGGCAAAGAAATATTAATGTATTTTATAAGAGTAATGACATGTGTGGAAGTACTCTACCTTCCATATGCTCCTTTGAAAACATACTGGTTGGGGTGAAACAGCACAGATGAAGTGATTCACAGCCTGTCCCCCTCATCCTGGGGACCACTGGGCTGCAGGGGGCCCAGGACCTGGGCAGTGTTAGCTCTGAAACAACAAAAAAAAAACATTTTATAACATCAGAGAAAATATGGGGGGTTCACACATGAAAAAATTAAGAGCTTAATGTGGTATAAATATCAGAAAGTCTTGAGTGAATGTATACCTGCATGCATGAAACTAATTCAATTAAATTACTTTTATTAATGTCTTTGGTCTGCTTGCTTATCCATCTAGAGGACAGATCTTTAGAGAAAAAGAATTTTCAATATTTCACAGTTGTCAGAGCAACATAATTCCAAGACGAAATTAGACAGATATGAAAATTTACAGAATATTTCTAGAGAAACAAGAATGCTTCATTACTTTAACTGCAAAGCAAATTCACAAAGATGTCTTTTTATTTACCTTTGAAAGCACTCGTAATGTTTTGGTGAATAACTGAAGAGCACTAATTTATGGTTTTCTTTGATAATGGAGTTTTGTTTTTAATTCTAAAATCATGATATCAATGTAGTTTGTTCCTAAAGTCCAACAAACAAACAGAAGTGTCTTCGCCTAAGTGACAAGTAATAAAACAAGAGGAAATGGCCTCGAGTTGCACCAGGGGAGGTTTAGATTGGATATTAGGAAAAAATTCTTCACCAAAAGGTTTGTCAGGCACAGGAACAGGCTGCCCAGGGAAGTGGTGGAGTCACCATTCCTGGAAGGATTTAAAAGCTGTGTAAATGGTGCCAAGGGACATGGCTTAGTGATGGACTTGTCAGTGCTGGGTTAGTGGCTGGAGTTGATGACAGACACTTTTTTGTTATGATTTTTTTCTTTTTTTAAAATTTTTTTCCCCTCTTCTGGACTGCTCTCCCTTTGCTCACACTGCCAAATCAGCTGCAAAAAAAAAAAAAAAGCTAAAATCCTCCCACACCCCCAATGGCTTTGACTGCACCCAAGAGGCTGCACCTACAGTTTGCACCACTCCCGATTCTCATCAGTGCAAGGAACAAGAACTGAACGAAACCTGCAGCAGTTTTCACACTGACATGTGACAAGTGTCACACTCACTTTGTCTTACAACAACCAATAACTCAGCATGTAGAAAACGAGAAAAAGGAGGCTTGCGGGTCTTAAGTAAAAGAAGCAAGCATAGTAAATCACTTTTTATCTAAGAAGAACATGTTAAATGGCTGGCAAAGAAATATTAATGTATTTTATAAGAGTAATGACATGTGTGGAAGTACTCTACCTTCCATATGCTCCTTTGAAAACATACTGGTTGGGGTGAAACAGCACAGATGAAGTGATTCACAGCCTGTCCCCCTCATCCTGGGGACCACTGGGCTGCAGGGGGCCCAGGACCTGGGCAGTGTTAGCTCTGAAACAACAAAAAAAAAACATTTTATAACATCAGAGAAAATATGGGGGGTTCACACATGAAAAAATTAAGAGCTTAATGTGGTATAAATATCAGAAAGTCTTGAGTGAATGTATACCTGCATGCATGAAACTAATTCAATTAAATTACTTTTATTAATGTCTTTGGTCTGCTTGCTTATCCATCTAGAGGACAGATCTTTAGAGAAAAAGAATTTTCAATATTTCACAGTTGTCAGAGCAACATAATTCCAAGACGAAATTAGACAGATATGAAAATTTACAGAATATTTCTAGAGAAACAAGAATGCTTCATTACTTTAACTGCAAAGCAAATTCACAAAGATGTCTTTTTATTTACCTTTGAAAGCACTCGTAATGTTTTGGTGAATAACTGAAGAGCACTAATTTATGGTTTTCTTTGATAATGGAGTTTTGTTTTTAATTCTAAAATCATGATATCAATGTAGTTTGTTCCTAAAGTCCAACAAACAAACAGAAGTGTCTTCGCCTAAGTGACAAGTAATAAAACAAGAGGAAATGGCCTCGAGTTGCACCAGGGGAGGTTTAGATTGGATATTAGGAAAAAATTCTTCACCAAAAGGTTTGTCAGGCACAGGAACAGGCTGCCCAGGGAAGTGGTGGAGTCACCATTCCTGGAAGGATTTAAAAGCTGTGTAAATGGTGCCAAGGGACATGGCTTAGTGATGGACTTGTCAGTGCTGGGTTAGTGGCTGGAGTTGATGACAAAGGTCTTTTCCAACCAACACAATTCCATGATGACAGCTTCCCCACTCCCCATTTCTTTCACTCCACAGCATCATGCTCTGCAGCTACAGGTGCTTTTGCAAAGCAGTGAAGTTCAGTGGCTGATCAGCCACATTCACAGGGCTTAATCCATGCCATGTGTTACTGGAGTATTTAAATTATTCAGCACAGGAGCTGTTTGGTGACACGATGCTCTAATGGTCACAGGTATCATGTGTTTGGTTGAGGTACCTCGGAATGTTTGGTACATCAGGAAGAAAAATACAAGACGAATGTCTGAGCTGCACCAGTTAAAACTTTGTTAGCATTTATTTGTGGGCTTACAGCCCTCACCAAGACTGCTCCTTGTGCATGTATGAGTGCTGTCCTGTTCCAAAAAATGGGGAGGGTGAAGGGGGCCTAGAGGAAAGCTGGGGAAGGACTTTCTGCAAGTAGGGACAGGACAAGGAGTAATGGCTTTAAACTGGAAGAGGGGAGATTTAGGTTAGACATTAGGAATAAGTTCTTTACTGTGGGGGTTATGAGACACTGGAACAGGCTGCCCAGAGAAGCTGTGGATGCCCCATAAATACCACTGTTTTGACCTGAAAGGCCACAGCTGGAGCAGATTTCCTAAAAGAGTAATGTATTTGATATTTCATCACAGATTGATGCTGAACAAATTAGGATTATAAAGCATTTGTAAATCTAATTAATTGCAATGTCAGAACCACTAGATGTGTTACAGAGATGTCAGGAGTGACACAGCTGCTCTGGAGGTGAACTTGTGCCAAGGTAGCAGTTTAAAGAATGAGGAACTACAGACACCAAATCATGAACTGGCCTTTCAGATAATCTGCAAATTTCTGGTGGCCTTGTACAAATAATATTCCTGGAACATCCCTACTGTCTAGGGAGAGCTTAACTTTGTTTTCAAAAAGCAGTACTGCTCTGGGAAGTGCTCTGAGATGAAAGCAGCAGAGAGCACCTCGCAGTATGAACCTGAATTTGTTAAGCCACTGATGACTTGTTCCCAAGAAGCAGCAGCCACTGCTGTGGATTTGTGCTGGCTCCTGTTTTGGGGCTGGCAAATCTGAGACTCCTGTTCAGATGCAGCTGCTCCTGCCATTGTAGTGGGAAAAGCCACTAAAACTCACAACGTTTTAGCACTTCTTCCTCCAACGCCTCCTTCTTGGTTTGTAAACAGAGTTTAATTCCTAGAAGAAATGCTCACAGCTTTTTGCTACATCTCACACTGGAAATAGTCACAAAATTGAGGGAGGGAAAGTTCATAGATGTTGTAAACAAATACAAACATCCCTTTCACTAAGTAATGGAGTCCTGTGAATAAACGTTTTTGAAAGATATGCCTTGATTTTCAACGTGAAAGCCAAATTTCCTGCCCTCTGTGCCTCAGCATCCCCAGGGTTACCCACACAAGCTTCCACAGCAGTGTTTGCAGAGCCTAAAGTTATGCCAAGTAAGTCACTGATTCTCATCTCTGAAAAAAAAGATGTGCTTAGACACTTAGGAGTGCATAAGCCTTTAAATATATCTGTGTTTCTTCATACCCACATTAACCCTGTAAATTCTCTTAGCCAGTACAACAAGAACTCTGCTTTCCTACACTCTCATTAACACACTGTGAGTAACTTTTGATTAAAAAATTGCCATTCTAACACAGCCAGAACTCTCTCCCCCCAGAGCTGCCACACTCGAGTCCAGTTTTGCAATCCTAGCCTGTAAAGTGCAACTTTCCACAGCAAAATGTTGGTCTCTGCAGCCTTGCTGTCTTCTAAAGGTAACTTGAGGTAACTCCCTGCCTTGGGATCGCCAGTGTTTGTCCTTCTGGAGAAAGTCTGGAGAGGTCCAGCCAGCTCATCAAGTACCTTTTCCCCTTGGCAGCATTAATCACCTTTCCAAGTGCTCTTTCTCACTTGGAGGTTCTTCCTACGGTCATAATTACTGCCAGGGACAGGTGGGAGCCTGGCAGGGAGCACCGGGAGAGGGAAGTCTTCACCGGGACGCTGTGTTATGTTTGCCAGCACCCTGACTTGTAACCTTATGGCTCTGGGGTGTTTCC